AACAGCAGCCCTTCACCGGCTCAGATTTATTAGCACTATTTCGGTAAAACAGTGATTACAGAGAACAGTTGAATACACTTAAATTAAAATACTACTTTTAAATATGCCTTTTTTATTCATGCTTGTTAAATGAGTTTAAATGTATGTAATATTGTAAACTATGCTGTATTCACCCAAATAAATTCAATTTGTCTTGTATTTTGTCCATGGGTGTTCTTGCTTAATAATAAATGTTCATCTTTTGATTATTGCTGTTGCCTATAGTAATTCTGTGTGTGATTTTTAATTTCCAGCCCATTTTAAGCCAGCAATATAATAATTTTTAAACAATAGATGACTTAAATAAAACAAACCAGCATGGTGGGTAAAAACGTTTAACCCAACCAGCTGGGTCAAAATAACCCAGCATGTGTTCTGTCCAATATTTACCCAGCGCTGGGTTGCCAAATAACCCAAGCTGGGTTGTTTTTAACCCAGCATTTTTTAGAGTGTACCGTGCCACTCATTATCACAACCCTGCTAAAATGTAGCGCCAGTATGTGCTCTTACTGGCACCCCCTCCTGCTGGTGGCGCCCTAGGTGACCGCCTAGCTTGCCTATGCCGAGAAACGGTACTGCAAGTGGCCAAAATGTCCGCCCAATAGAGAAAAGTTTTGCTCAAGAAAAAAAGCAGGAAAACAAAAATTTCACACACACACACACTGGGCACTAGTTGCCAGCTTTTCCTTCACTAGTTCAACTTATCCATTAAAATAAAATAGTCAGCTATGACTTACCCTTTTGTATAATCTGGACGATCTTCATCTCGTACTGATCGTAGTGACACTTCTTTACACTGATCAGTTTAACCTTGTAGACTGAAGAGAAGACACCAATTAAACCAATTTATTGCCCTCAGAGACACCCCCCTCCCCACCCCATAAATATTCACCATAATGTCTTCCTTTGCATGCAGCTAGTTTCCACCGCTGTTTTCCAGAAGACATATTTTCTGGTTTTCGTACACAGCAGTTACCTGTGCAGAAAAATTAAAAAGCTAAGATTATATGTATAAAACATTTACATACTTTTTTATGTGTGAAAAAAGTAATATTAAAGGATTCATTCACTCATAAAATATAAAATGAATGACATGGTTTACAAGGGATCATTTTAAAGCTTTTCAAAGGTTACTATACATAAAAATATATAGCAATACTATACATATAAATACTATGTTATAATTTGCCAATTTAACATGTTTCATGTGCAAAGTGAAAGAAAGGAGTTGAGACGGACCCTGTGAGCAGCGACACACATTATTTTTGCAGATATTATCCGGATTTTTATCTTCAGGAGGAGAGTAGAACCTGCTACAGCGTTTATCTGAAACATCAGAGACCTTAGTTAGCATTCATCACATAAAACATCTTTAAAATTTTTAATCTTCACAGCAAAGCAAACAATTAGCAAACACCACTAATAATGCAAATCCAATAAATCATGATATTCTTACTAGGGCTGGGTTGACAATCTTGATTTCCCAATTTTAAGCCTTAAAATCAGTAGGTCTTCTTTTTGATGAATCAATATTGATTCCAGTGCCAGCCCTATAAGTGAAATATGTGGTTGCATAGAGCCCCATGGCCACCAGGGGGCCCCATGTCAGGGGTTCAGACAGTAATGTTTGGTAATAATATATCTAGTTTGAGCGACGAATGGAGCTCCAGCGTAGTTCAGGCAGACCACGGCGTGACTGCAGCATCAGCTGACGCTCAGCTGATTGTAACTCCTCACACTACAATTAATAAGATATAAGATCATCCGTACTCACGCTTGCCATAGTCTGTCGCACAGACATGCGCTTACCCTCCTCCATCCCCAACTCCTCCTATGCAGATACATGATCACTTAACTGCTCGCCCACAGAGATATATCATCTATCCAGCTCATGTTACTCAAATTGTTCAATATTATCCACAGTACGGTGTTACTCTACTTGGTATAAATAACTGTGCATATTAAAATATCTGGCAATTGCTTAGGCTTCAGGGGGGTTCAAACCTCAGTGAGGTTTGCCTGTGGATAGCTCAGAATCTGAACCCTTCAGAGCAAAGCCTGCCGCCAAATATAAAGTTCAGGACCTCTACAATATTCTGACTCGAACAGAGTGGTCCTGACTGAACTTTGATAAAGTTAGTTTGTGTCAGTCACATGTGTTAATGTTTGAGAATGAAGGGGAAGTGGAAAATGAGAAAAAGTGAGCAATGGTAAGTGATGGAATTTGAACAACATAGGCTCATTGGAAATACGTGCCTCTATATACATTTCTGCAAAACTGAAAAATCGTACATATATGTACGAATCACTGCAGTTTCCAGTTGAAATGAACACTAGAGGCAGTAAAACTCAGACACCTTTTATTCCTTTTCACATAAAGTATGATTTACAGATACAGAGTTGTGATTAATAAAGCATACATTGTCACACAATTACTTACAGAATATTATGACTTCAAAACAATTTTAACATCCTGCGCGATTTGAACACTGATACTTTTGAACGTTGTATATGTGAATCACATATACCGCTTCATATGCATGAGTTTTCTAATTCAGCAGGTTTTGTTAACACAATCGGGTAGGTTTAGGGTTGGGTTTTGGGATATTTCCAACACGATAGAGCATTAACTTTTAGCGACACTCCCCGAATATTTGAATTCTGAACAGCCGCAATATGTACCTCAAGCAGCGTAATAAAAACGCAGCAATACGTGCCTGTACCAACATAATATAAATGTGCCACGGTCATTTCACTTTGAAACTGCCGTAAAACGTGCAGTAAGGTACGTAACTGACCTATCGGTAAGCCCCTCCCCTTGAACGCAGATGAGCCAATGGCAGTCGAGTATCAGTTGCACGGGGAGCGGAACTCGGACATCTGTAGGTTTCAGCACCATAGAGAAACACTGGAAGATCCGAAGCTTGCATCGTTTTTATGGGATTTATGCTTCAAAAATGGAAAAACGATGTGCCTGGGGTCCTTGTAACACTGATTCCAGGTATCCTGAGAGGATGGGCAATGGAATTTATTTTATTCTATTTCCTAAACCCAAACAAAATGGAGCAAAATGTCCCCAAGCATTCACCCCCAACCCCAATGAAGACAAAAACATTAATTTTCTGGTTGTCATACTCTCATTGTTACAATTTTCATCTGCTCAAGCAAAAACTTTAGTGTCATCTTGTGCTTCAGCAACATATCTCTGGCTAAAACTAGCTAGTGTTAAAGTTGGTGAGTCCATGCTAACGTACAAACCTAAATAGCGGACTGTTCTCGCGTCTTGTACAGTGTAGGGCAAAAACACATAAACGACATACGACAAGGTCTACATTTCACTGTCTCTTCATATTAAACTGGTTAAATGTAAATTAATTTAATCGTACCCTGAGATACATGAACAGTGTTGATCTGGGATATGTGTTCCTGTGTCTTGTGTTTTTCTCTCCATGTGCCTTCCATGACCTAGTTTCTCCCGTGTTTCCTGCCCATATTTGGTTTTCCTGTTCTTGTTCCCATTAAGTTCCATTTGTTTCAGCTGTGTCCCGTTAATCTCAACGTTTAGTCTGAGTACTTAAGCCCTGTGTTTTCCTATGTCTAGCGTCCAGTGTTAAACGTCTATCCCCGGTGCTACATGTGTGTTCCTTGTTGTTTTGCTTTCATTAAAGAGTGTTCTTCGTTGAATCTCCTATGTCTCCGCGTCTTCTCGCTCCAGCACAGTAGGCACGCGTGACAGTTGAGGGCTACAGTGCTGTTGTTAACCAATTACAGACCGAAAAGGAAACAGTTCAAAGCATAAAGTTTTCAACTCTTTGAAGAACTTTAAAGTGTGCCAACCTGGCTTGCCACCTTGCCTTGGTCACAACATTTTTGAAGGCGTGTTGTCTTATGATGTTGCTCTTTACATCAAGTACTTTGTTAAGAAGAAGTGGTTCATTTATCCAATTCTTAACCATCGAATCAGGCAGTTCAAATATAATGGCTCTGATGCTTTCACAAAACATTCTGAGGTCAATTCTCATGGACCTAAGCTGGCAGGTCAGGCCATTCAAAATTTGAATTTTTTTACGGCTTCTACCTGTTATACTTGGTGATAGTGTGTTAGATCCTGCAGATGAGGTTTGGCAATTAACTCTTCAGCTAAAGGACATTGTTGAACTGATTTGCGCTCAGAAAATTTCAGTGTCACAGGTTGCTTATTTGCTTTATTCTTATCCAAAAATACTTTGGATATATTACAAAAATAACTTGTCAGTAAAGCTGGTTCTGTGATTAGTAGTTAAGTGAGTTTGGAGTAAAAACATGTTATTAAATGTCGTATTTTCATGTGCTTTCAGATGGAGCAGCATTTACTACACAGAGCCGTAGTTCACTGACAAACTACACAAAATCTCGTTTATAATAGCAGACGATATAATCGTACGATTATGAAATCGAAGAAATCGTTCGCGATCATGACAGCTGTTTGCGTAGATTCTCAGTGAACTACGGCTCTGTGTAGTAAATGCGGCTCCATCTGAAAGCACGTGAAAATACGTCATTTAATAACATGTTTTTACTCCAAACTCACTTAATAACGTCAGTCGAGTGTTTGAAATAAATTCTTCTGTGAGTTGATGTGGCTTCTTAAACAGAATAATTAAGGCATGCAATATTTCATAGTATTCTAAGCAGTGATAAAGGCTGTGTCGATTAGCATTGCATTATTATATACTTTATTATAATAAAAATTATAATAAGACGAACTCAGATAAACCATATATATATATTGTCGAAGTCGTGTGTTTGTTTATTAGTCACGTTGAATCAATGAAAGCAGTTAAATCTTCTACAGGTGCATCTCAATAAATTAGAATGTCGTGGAAAAGTTCGGCGTATTTGGAGTTTCCACGTGAGATCGCCCTCTGGCCTTCGGATGTAGATTTACTGATGATCACAGAACCGAGCTTCACTGAGAGATAAACATGACAATCGCAGCTTCTGCCTAATCGCGATTTATCGCCTTTGCGATTTCATTTCGATTAATTGTGCAGCCCTACTTGGAGTCTAGAAAAGCAGCCTTTCAGGAAGTAAATCTAAAACAAAAACATCATTACCTGTGACACTATCCAGGTCTGATACTCAAATTTGGTCCATTGATCAGATTATGGACAATGAGGTTTAAACTAAAATAATACAAACCAAACTGATATTTTTGCATCATAATATTTCACTGTTTGCACAGCTGAACACACCCCACATTTTGAAGGTATAGTTGACCAAAAAAATTAAATTTCTGTCATCATTTACACACCATCAAGCTGTTATAAACCTGTATGAGTTTCTTTCTTCTATTGTACATAAAATAAGTTATTTTGAAGAATGTGTGTAATCAAATGTAGTAAAAATACTTCATTTTTTCTTTGGAAAATATCTTTTATGTTCAAAAGAAGAAAGAAACTCATACAGGTTTGTAACAGTTCGATGGTGTGTAAATGATAACAGAAATTTCATTTTTGGGCCAACTATACCTTTAATAAATTTTAGAGACACCAAATTTATTATTTTTCTCTGTTTTAGTCATGGATGAACCAGAGCAAAGCAATGTAATCAGTGCAATTGCTGAGTTACTCAAAAGATATTTCATCTTCGGTGCTGCAGTCAGTTGTGGAGACGTTCAATATGTTCAGGAAGCAGACCTTTTGCCGGTATTACGACCCATTCAGTCCAGAAAACTTGTATCTGCTTGGAGCCAGATCAGTAAGTACATTTCATCTTATGATTTCATAATGTATAGAAATGTAAAAGTGTTCTTAAATAATCTGGTTTCATAAGTGATCAAAAAAAGAAGTCATTTTTTACCTTTGTCTTTTTAGAACAAAGTGCTGATAACTTGTCAAATTCTAGAGAGAGCAGCAGTGGCACTTGTTCATCTTCATGTTCATCAACCCCATCATGTGACAAGGCTTCCACAGTTGCTTCAGACTGGGCTGACAATTTTAAGATACCATGGCAGAAGTTTCCAGGAGCATTGACTCAATGTTTAGAAAGAAAGTAAAGACCAAACCCAAGATTGCGACGAGATATGGTAAGAATTGTCATGTCTGAAATGATGAAGGTATGTGACTGTCCCAGTAAACAAAGCTCTGCAGCCATTGCCAAAAAGATGGTGGCCAAATACCCTGCATCCTTGCAGGATGTTATCGAAGATGATATAGTTGGATCAGGGTATCACTCGCTGGTCAAGCAGATTCAGAATCGCATAGAAAATGTGAAGAGACCCAATGTACCGAAAATCAGAAAATGTAGCAGACCAGA